AGACTCATCAATCATGGTGTTCACCATGTCTACAGCAGCCGGTAGAATAAATTCTCCAGCGATGATATGAGGCTTCTTACATTTCTCGATTCTGTAAGCCAACTTTTAAGATGCTAGCAAAGCGTTGTTTGGTATTGATTCAGTTTAAAAAAATGTGTTTTTTTGTAGTTTCAGTTATTTTATCTTCCTGGCTAAAAAATCACGAGGTTTGTCAACCATGCTGTTGTGATTAGCTTTTAATTGGCGCTTCAATTTACTTGGAAGCATACACTCTGTTGACAAAAATTGCATACACAATACACATTGTGGTCTCTCTTCACCATTAATTTTTTTGACTTAAAACAGAACTCTAAATAACTGTCATCATATTTACGATATTTTCGTTGTTTCCACTGATTAAAGGCATACTTTCTTTATCTGCACTATTACGTTTATAACCGTACAAAAATCGGTCCATTATCAAAGGCACAAGAGACAAAAAATACAAAATTATTTATCAAAGACAATAAACAAGAAGTAATATAGCACTAACTAAATTACACTATGAACTCATTTACTCATTTATGTTACTGTTTATTTATATATGAAGCGCTGAGTTTAAATTCACTAGACTCAAATTATAAGTCGACTGACTGAATCAGGCCGATAAAGCTTGCTTATAAACTTTCCGCAAGATCTTTCAGAATATTCCAAATCTATCGCGAATGTTCTACGAACCTCGAAGTGTCTAGTGCGATCATATGGTGCGATCGAGTGACGCGGCGTTTTCTCTCACGTTTTTGTTTAGCTAGGCCGAATGCCTGGGTTAAATTAATTATCAAGCTTTTACAATATTTCACGGCGCCCCTGTAAAAAGGCGCTGCTCCCCAGGGCGCCTCGGCGCACAGTTTGGAAATCAATGTGCTAAACAATTGCAAACAACTTCTATACATTAAACCTAATAAAAACAAGAAGAACCACAAATTTGTGGACTGGCACACAAGAGACTAGAGCATAGGAAGTCATAGACTTGGCACTATGGATAGAAGCACGATAGATGCGGCGGAGACTAGAGCTAGTTGGCTAACAGTAGACATGTTTGATCATAGACGTGGTCCATGAAGAAACGGCTAGACCATGAGAATTAATCGGGCTCTTTAACCTAAAGTTAGTCTCCCATCCAGCTTGTGAATTCTGATGTTTAGGGGCCTACTCAACGAGGCCATCAAAAGCTTGAGACAGTGGGAAATAATGCTTCGAGTAGTACATATAGGGTGTCAGGGGTCGAGTGAAATACCCGAACCCAAAAGGTAGGATGAGGATTATACGGAGCAAGAGGAGGACTCAGATAAGACCTATGGGAAGAGGATTCCGGGGTAAGGGGGTGAGAAAGCCAGCGTTGGGTTTGGACAGTTCTCATAAGAAGCGCTAAAAAAGGGTACACTATGCCACATTTGAATAAAAAATCTTGATAGTGAAGGGGTGATGCGAGGATATAGGATTGAGGAATAGCCCAAGGCGGAAAGAGAGATACCGGATTGTTTAGCAGATAATTGGTCAAAGGATTGACTTCATTTGTCTCTTTGACGAGTTGTAGTGTGGTGCTAAGACTGACAATGCCGACTACCATGCCGGTGAAACGTCTGGGAATGTATCACGTCGATGGTCAGACTCTGAAAATTATCATGCATACTATGAACTTCGGACTTAGGGCGTTCCTCTAGGTCTTCCTACTAGTATGGCTAAGTTGCGAAATCAAGGTCAGACACAGTTTATACAACGAAAGGAGACTGTGACCATACAAAAGGCCACACCATCTTGGTCTTCATACCTTCGTATTAACTATTTAGTTTATAGCAGGCCATTACACATGAAATCTGTTGCAGCTCAAAAAGACTTTGTTTGCTTATGGGCATATGTTGAGGAAATGACCAATTTGATTGGCAAATTGAGTATAATAGCAGAATAGACTTTAAAATAGATGTGCACCTAGGACAAAAGAAGAATCGTTTGCTGATCGAGAATCAAACATCTCCTATATGTCTTAGAAAATATAGATGGTTTGAGGGCTCAACCAGATTTTCATCAGTCTTAAAATGCGGCGGGCTATGAGCCAAATTAGACCATACCCTTCAATCGTTTTTTATGTTCATATCCCTGCGAGCCCGAATAGAAAAGTACGTTTACATAGTATCTTTAGTTTATACCCTCTGTCGGTCATGTAAATGCAACTAATTAAAAATGCCTAGATAATCAGCTTGCTCATGTTTCCAAGTCATTTTAGCCTTAGTTCCCGTATCAGTCGGAAGGCCATTATCGTCATTGAGGACAGCATAGATCAGCATAACTCTTGAATGCGATCAGACGTTTTGGACATTCCGAAACAGATAAGTAAATAGAAATGGGCAGATAGTTAAGATGAAATGCCAATAATAAGCCCAGAAAGAAATGAATGTGCAACCGGCTAAGTATGAGATACTCCTGAACAAATCCAAGGGAGAGAAGAAAAGAACAAAAGAAATTGAAGGAAAGAGGAAGGGGAAGATAAAAATAAAATGGATTGAGAAAAATCCTGATTATGTTACCTGCTAGTGTCTGCATTACATCTGTACATTGTACACTAAGACAAGGGAGTCCAATTACAGTGTGCTCTCTGAAGTCATAGCCTTTTCACTTGTGCTTAGGTCAAGCCGATGATGGCGTATATTATGCTGGAAATTAATTAGTAACTCGCTCGTAAACTAGGCGCTCCCAAAAAAGGAGCCTATGAGTAAATGTCATTCGTGGGAAAGTGTGAAGAGCATATTCGTAGGTGAATCATATTAAAATATAGAGAAAATATAAGTACAAAAAATGCCATCATTAGTGGCACGATACATTTTATCCACGCCCTCACACAAATGTTTGCCAAATTTTTTTGCTTAGGAAAATCTCACCTGCCCAATCACAGTGCCCTCACGAGTATTCTCTAGTACGGTGAATTCATAATAGTGATCTATGCTGGAATCCGGGTCTTCGTGCTCCGTTTGTGCTGCTACCAAGGCACTTCCGTTTGTCACTGTCTTTCCAGTCGACGTAGTTAAACGCCGTCTATTACTCCCTTCAAAGCGGGGCACGTTGTCATTGGCATCTAAAACAGTAATCGTTATGACTGTGGTGGAGCTAAGTGGCGGATGACCACTATCACGCGCTTCTACAGTCAAGTAGTAGTCAGGTGTGCGTTCATAATCCAGTTGGCGAGCCAAGATCAGAGCGCCTGATGACAGGGGGAAAGACAATGAAAGGGAGGGAAGGGTAAGTATGAAGCCTTGACATAGTAGTGTACACAATCCTGAAATGTAGGGACGCCCAAATATAAGAAGGATAACTCAGAGATATAAAAACTAAGAAGAAAATTTCCAAAAATAGAATCAAATATGGCCAAGAACCAATGATCCAGTTTCTTAAAAAACAGTGCTCTATAGATCAACTATGGCTAATGTTGGTTATGTATATAGAAAAAGCGCATAATCAATTCCCAAAATATTTGTAAGGTTTTGGCTACAGAACAATGTGTTCAACTAAAGTGATATGATGAATAATCGCCCAACCTAACCAAAGAGAAGAGCCATGTCACAATAATTTGTATATATATTACAAACTGGTGAGTGTTGATGTGCAGAATTGTGTTGGCACGTTGAATTTATGGAAACATTGTAAGAAGAGAAAGAGAGAGAATGGTGGCGACTAGTCATGGGCTAATTCTGTTTTAAAAGCTTGGGTGATTTCTGTTTACGGAATCTGATTGGTTCAAAAGGTAGGCTAGATGTTGTGGAGAGATCAGATCATTTCGACATAACAAAATAATGTGGATGAGCGATAGTTACAAATTGCCTTTGTGCTAAAACGAATGTTGGGAGATAGCTGTGTGGCAAAAGTAACAGTGGAATTAAGAGAGTAAGGGTAGGCCACTATAAACTCATCGAGATGACACTATAAGACACTATGTGAAAAGCAATTTTGATACTTAGTATATTAAGACTAATGAGGGCGCTATTAAAAAGGAAGAAGCATGTGTAACAGGACATGTAGTACAATCGATTGTTGGATAGCCTTACGGCAAAAACAGCAATTAATTATTTAAAAATTTTAAGTTTATTTCCTTTCCCGGAAAATGTTTTTGCTGAAATTATTTATTTTCCAGAAAAGCTTCCTTATCCGTAAATAAATACACAATAAATAAATGCATGTTTATATGTTTCTTCGAAACAATAAAGTCGATGATTATTGTGTTGGTTTGACCTCGTTTTTGTAATTTGGATGGAGCGTCAGAGATTTTGTGGAATGCGCCTAGTCCTGTATACTCTCTCATAGTATTCGTGATTTCAGGCACCGGACCACTGACTCAATACATTCCCAAACGTTTTCCTGGCCTCATAGTCGACATCGTCACTGAGAGGTGCCCTCGTTAGCATAGAGTATAGGAATGTCCCAAGTCAATGGTCAGGTGCCTGAAATCACGAATACTATTGCGGAGGACAGAGGATTAGATACGTTCCACAATGTTTTCCTGATACTCCTACTAAGTTGCGAAAACGAAGTCTAACTAACACTATAAGGTTAAGGGAGACTGTGACCAAACAGAAAGACACACCATCATTCTTCATATTTAGGATCTAAAGGATTGTTTCTTGAGGGGTGATTTTCTGAAGCATAAGACTAGATAAATGATTTACAAAAAGTTGAGTCAACAATAAATAAAAATCAGTAACAGCAAATACAATAAATAAAAAAATAAATTCTGACATTAAAACATCATAAAATATAATATATATGAGATCGCTTAGCTGAATTTTCTCACAATGATATGAGTGCACGTTAAGTTTTCATTGAACTTCAGGTAGCCTTAATGCCTAAAAAGTATTCCCACTCAAGTGGACTGCAGTTCCGAC